TTTCAGGCCAGGCGGTCTCTGCTGCAACTACACGGCTCTGCTGTGGGAGCATGAAAGTAGCCATTGGCAATACACAAACCAATGAGCATGGCTGTGTTCCAATAAAACTTTATTTACAGAAACAAGAGGTGGGCCAGATGTGGCCCATGGGCCGTAGTTTGCTGACTCCAGTACTAGGGCCTTGTTTAATAGGTCTGCCTAACACTCATCTGCCTTAAGGACTATAATTGTGTTTAACTTACTCTTTATGATTTGGCCCAGACCCTGTAGAGTTAGATGCAAATTTGTAGAAGATTTAAAGTTGCAGACCCAGAGATTACAGTCACATTGCTCTTATGACCAGTTTTATTTCTAACTTTGCGATCTTATCATAGGCTTCTTTCTTTCACTGACTCCACCATACTCTGACTCTGGTATTCTCCTCTGAACCAGTTTTACCACCCTGCTGATTCCCTCATTAATGAGCAAAATAAATCTTTGACACGCACTATATATTTGTATGAGAGTCATGTTTTTAAGTGGATACTTTGACAGGTATGATCGGCACTGTATCAGAGGTATGCACATGCCATGAGAGCACAGAATTAGGACCTCATTTTCTGGCAGCCTGGCTGGGGGACAAGTCAGGGGTGATGGGAGTGTTCTTCGTGGAGTCTTCCCAAAGGCCCAGATGCTCTCCAGATTCTGAAGGAGTTTGCCAGCTGTGCAGGGAAGGAGCAGAAGGGGTAGGCACGTTTTAAAGAGAGGAATGAGTCTTTGTGAGGTACAGGTGTTTGAGACCGTGTGATGCCCCAGGTAATAACAAACTGGAACTGCAGGGAGCAGTGGCAGCAGATCCCGATGGAGCCATGCGGAGCCCACCTGGGCTTGCCAAGGATTTGGCACCCATTCAAATCCAGGTCTTTATAAAGGAGACGGAGCACAGGATGGGAGGGCAGGGAAGTGTGATCTTGGGTGTGCCAATCCATTTGTCCTAGCCCTACAATTGTAGGTCACACTCAGCAAAACTAAAGCCCTACAGGCAACCAGCAGTAACCTTCCTAGAGGGCAGCTTAGAGATCATCTATTTGAGAATGGCAACAGCCCCCAGAGCTCTAAAAGGAAAGACCTCCCTCCTCAGAGACCCCAGTGCAGGGGTGTCGTTCTTCCCGGGAAGATGAAGTGGAAACATCATCCCACTGGCCTCCACGTTCCCTGACAGGGGACTGTTTCCCAGGCTCTTTACTAACAGAGTTTTAGGCCCAGTGGTTCTCAGAAAAACCGGACTAGCTTGTTGCTTCTTGCTGCCTCATCCTCTCCTGCCCTCCCGAAGCCCGTGGATGCCTCCTGAATGTCTCTCTCCTCCTGTGGCATTGGAGGTCTTGCCAGTTCTCCGAGCTTGGTCACGTGGATGGAACAGGCTTCAAAACCCAGTGCCGCTGACCACCACTGACCCTGCCGAGGCCATGTGGCCAAGAGCGTGCTCTGGGTGGATGTCCATGGGGTCAGGAAAGCCAGCAGGCCTGGAGACGAGTGCTTCCAGGGCTGGCAAAGCGACTGGACAGACAGAATCGATACATGCCCGGCTTCAAAGCCAAGAGCCCCACCACCACCAGGACCCCGTTGTTTCTTAGCCTAGTTTATTTCTCTGCCCGGGAGCTCAACAAAGCAGCAGAGGTTGGAGGGGTGTCACTGGGGGCATGGAGAGAAAGAAAGAGAAAGCAGTGGCTTTGCAAAGTTACATGGGCTTCCATGGTGAGGCCTGGGAACTTGGATAATAAATGAACTCGCCATGCATGTGTTCCCCTCACACAAGCGCCCCAGCACTAGCACAGCAGCGCCCGGGTGGTGGTGAGCAGACACCGCCGGTGCAGCGTCCGCCTCAGTCACTCAGTGCAGCGAGTGATCAGTGACAGCTGCCCTGCCCTGATGGCGAGCGCTTTCCGTAGCATTTCAACACGGGATTGAGTGATAAATAAAAGGTCTCGAATTGACTGCCCTAAAACTGAAGTCATTTCTTTTTCTTTTTTTCTTCCTTCCTTTTTTTTTTTCCTAAACTTAACTTGCAAGAAATAGCACAAGTGTTGGGTATAATACCCCAAGGATCCCTTTCACAAGAGGAGATCACCTGTCACTGCGGACTCTGAAACCGCTAAATCCTTGTGCTGGGCCCTCCGTTCAACAGGGGTCCCCTGGCACCCAATACAATTCAACTGAATTAGTTAGCAGTTTGACTTTAAGGAATTCATAAATTTTGTTAACAGTTTATAGAATGGAACTAATAGAGCAGAGAAAATGTGGGGTTCAGTATTTCTTTCCCCATCATCTGGCTCCAACCTGCCTGCCATCCCCATCTCTACTACCCCCTACCCCCTGCAAGCCAGGGACCCTGCCCAGGATCCTGCCCACAGGAGCCTGAGCATGTCCTGAATACACCCCCTCCTGGCTGCTCTGCATGCTTTTCCTTCACCTGGAGGCACTAAAGGTGTCCTGGGCTGTGCTGAGCAGTGATAAACACTCGGAAAAAACGTCCTCTTTTCCGGCTTTGGCTTCCTCCCATGTGAAAGGGCTGGGAAAGCTTCTCCCAGCTCTGTGGTTTATCTGTCAGCTCATCGTCCCTTGACCTCACAGATAAATACTGCGTGCCTCCTCTCCGCTAGACGCTAAGCAGGGCAGGGCTTCCGGGTGCACATTAGTGAGCTCCCCAAGGTTCTTAGGAAGCATAGTCATGCTGTGGGAGACGCACCTCTATTTGCCCAGCCGGGCTGGTGGCCCCAGGCCATGGGTCAGCACTGACCAGTCTTCTCCTCCTCGTCCTTTTCCAGTTCACAGATGCAGTGGAGGGAGGCAGGTGGCAGCCGTGGGCCTCAGTGGCACTTGGTTCTTGGGAGAGCTCATCCAACCCAGTTAGCCTAGACCCTTCCCTTCTTCATGACAGGTGTCCTGCACAGCCTTGATCCATGTCTTATTCTCTCACTCTTTCGTTTCTGCGTCTCTGAAGTGAGGATCTGCGGGCTTCCATGGGGACCACAGTGCTGAGGACTGGAGGAGACTGCCCCATTCCTTCAGCTGTGCAGACTGCATGGTGTCTTCCTGACTTCCCTGCCCCGTTCAGCTGCCTTGCTGCTTTGCTGACTCCCGGGCCACTCATTATTAACTCTGACCTCCGGATCTTTCTCCACCAAATGTTTGTGGCCAATCCTCCCACATTTTATTTCAATGGTTTTTTTTTTTTTTTTCCAATTGAAGTGAAATTGACATAGCATAAAGTTAACCATTTTAAAGTGTACAATTCACAAGTTAGCCATTCACAATGTTATGCAACCACCACCTCTATCTAGTTCCAAAACATTTTCATCACCCCCAAAGGAAACACCACATCCATTAAGCAGTCACTCCCGTTCCCTCTTCCCCCAGCCCCTGGCAACCAGCAATCTGCATTCTGTTTCTATGGATTTACTTATTCTGTATATTTTATAAAATGGAATCATTCATTATGTGGCCTTTTGGATCTGGCTTCTTTCACTTACAATGTTTCAAGGTTTATCCACATTGTAAGATGTATCAGTACTTCATTCCTTTTTGTGGCTGAATAGTATTCCATTGTGTGTATGAACCACAATTTGCTTATCCATTCATCTGTTGATGGACATTCGTGTTGCTTCCACCTTTGGGTGTTGTGAATAGGGCTGCTGTGACCATGTGTGCATGTATTTGTTAGAGTACCAGTTCTCAGTTCTTTTGGGTATTTCCCTGGGAGTGGAATTGCTGGATCATGAGGTAACTCTACGTTTAACTTTTGAGGACCTGCCAAACTACTTTCATGTTTGTAATTCAGAGCATTTAGAGCTTTGTGTTTTGCGTTTAGTTTTCTTTAGGAAGCATGTTGCCCAGCATATGTTTGCTCAGTCTCCACTTCATCCTCTGTGTCTGTTTCTCCAGTTTACCAAGGTCATTTTGAATTCTCATGCCATCCTCCAACAACCTGGCCACCTGCCAACTTTGTTTCTCTGCAAACTTAATGGGCACGTTTCCTATGCTGTCATTTAAGTCATTTATGAAGCATTAAATGCACAGGGCCCTGGGCTGATCCACCTGGATACAGCTTCTTTGGCCTGACACTCTCTGTGCTCATGGCCTTCCCTCTGCATATGTCGCCTGGGTCCCCAGAGCCACACAGCCTGCACAAGTGCCAGAGTGTGACTGGGACAGGTATGCAGAAACCTGCAGAGTAGAACTCCTGGGGCTTTCCTGGCTGATAGGATGTCGCAGTGTCTCCGCCAGCTGTTCCCTTGCTGGGTCAGGCCCCATGGCACCAGCTAGGCAGGTGAGGGGTGTGGTCAGATGGGTGCGGGCAGAACTAGAAGCTACCCCGAGCAGTAACAGGAAATCACAAGACCTGTGACTTGGGGTCAGATCAGGGTGGTCTTAGGAGGGTTGGAGCCAAATGAAAATGCTAAATGAGCAGGCTGATTGGACTCAAAGTTCAGGGATGGGAATAAAATCAGCCGGAGACAGATCACTGGGCAGGACTAGAGTCTCAGATGAGGCAGAAGCTGGGAGAGCTTGGAGGGCAGCCCACGGGAGCTTCTTGGTGGACTGGGAAAAGGCAAATCTCTATTTGGAGGGAATCAGCTCTGCCCTGAGGTGGTTCTTTTACCTCTGAAAAGGACTGCACCTGCCAATCTAGCCCCCAGGGCAGCAATCTGTCCTATGCTCTCTGCATAACGACCTGCTTGTGTCACTGCCAGCAGTGGCGTCTTTGGTGTGTTCGGGGCAGAAAGGGGCAGAGTGGGAGTGGGAGAGACTGAGTCCTGACTGTGAGCTTTTGGTTAAATCCCACCCAGAGTTGATGGTGGGAATAGCAAGACCTGTATCTCCAATGCACAAGGGTGGGGGGCGGGGTGTGCGGGACTCAACTTACCCCCAGCCCGCCACACACCAGGCAGCTGCACATGCCGTGAATGGCGGCCTCCGCCCTGCAGCTCGTCCAGCCCATCCCAGGATCTCCCTTTCCACAGGTTGGAGCCATCGGCGACGAGGAGGAGTGGGTCAGCCTCTACGAGGAGGAGAATGAGCCTAACGCCCAGACACTGGAGATCCCCAACCTCACACCCTACACTCATTACAGGTGAGAGCAGCAGGTGATAACCCCCCGCAGGAGGAAGTGTGGCATCTCCAGCGGGTGGCTTCAGTCTGCAGTAACAAAACCCAGTTATGTGCCTGTCAGTGAGAAGTTTCCAAGTGGCCATAACAGTAAATGAAACCTTTAGGAGCAAGATACACTGCTGAGTATTATTCTGATGGAGATTATATCCCCAATGCTAGATTAGCAATGTTCTTTCCATCAATACCAGCTGGCAAGACACCCGACAGAAATGGCTCACTATTATATTAGGCTTACTAACCGAGAGCCACGGGCAGCGGGAGATGCCACGCTTTTCTGTACAAAACTCTACGACCTCTTGGGACAACGACATGCTATGTTTGAACGAAGCAGTTGTCCTGGGGGCATCCTTCTGCTTCCCCCTTCCAGGCCCAGAGATGCTGGTCTCACTGATCAAGTACTTAACATGCCATTTAACCTTTTGCTTCTTGATCCTGAAACTTTTCCAGGCAGTAAATCTTTGGCCTTAACAAAGGGTAGAGTGATCAGGAGCTGTTAGAGATGTTATAACTTCCCGTAAGATCATTGAAGGAGATGAAATTTCCAGTTATCACCAGATGTTGAGTTTGATAATGTCATTGTTCTGCCAGGACGGATACATTTCATGAGGTTGGGGAATAAAAGACTAAGAATGACTAATTCAGGGAGTAAAAGGTGAAATTACATCTTTGTGAAGAACGTTTTTTCAGTACAATAACAAAGTTAGGGTTTAAAAATAAAACCTAATGAGAGATGCTGTATAGCTTCTATTCATTTTAACATCCTTCCTAGGATTAGAGCAGATGAATCAAGGTACCATACACTCATTTTTAAAGAAAAACATTTAGCATAAAATGAGCTGGGATTCAAGACTTACCATGTAAAATTAGCATAGGCTATATAATTATTTCAAAGATCAGAAACTGTTATTAGAGATCAGTGTCCCTGTCTTAAATTCATGTAAATTTAGGAAGCCTCTGAAATAAGTATCTGTGTGTGCTTAGGATATTTTTCTTGTATATAAGTTCAATTCAAATAATTGTACATATAAATCTAGAAGAACTAGAACTGAAAACATTGACATAGGCTTTAAAGAACATCTAACTCCACCCTCGTTTTATAGATAAGGAAATGGAGACAGGTGTGGTTTGCCGAAGGTCTCAGGTACCAATGGAGTTGAGTCCTAGGGTGTGGATTCTGGGGCCATTGCCCCTCTCCTGAACCAACAGAGAATGAGGTGTAGGGTGCCCTTGGTCATTAAAAAGACATTGGACTTTCAAAGCTGTCATTTGGTAGCGACATTCTGACACTCCAGTTCTGTTAAATAGCAGCTCGAACTCTACTCCCCTGATATTACCCTAAACTTGAATCAGCCAATGGCAACTGATGACGCAGATTTCTGGCCATATAACCCATTCTCACTTGGGAATTTAAAATCATTGAGTTGCAATGAATTTAGCAGTCTTTGGAGGTTTTTAGGGAAAAGGGCCATATATGTAATTTACATTTTTAATGAAGCCAGATGGAAAGAGGGCATCCTTGAGCAATGGTCTTTACGATGTGGGTAGACACATATCTGAGCCCCCCAAGCAACAGTTGTGGCTTTTTTGTTTTTTCCACTTTTTCACATGACCTCGTGCTGCAGAATAACTCTCGTCAATGGTTTTACCTCCAGATTTCGAATGAGGCAGATGAACATTGTTGGGGCCAGCCCCTTCAGTCAGTCATCCCGGGTCATCCAGACGCTACAGGCTCCCCCTGATGTGGCTCCAACCAGCATCACCGTCCGAACTGCTAGTGAGACCAGCCTGCGGCTCCGCTGGGTGGTGAGTTGGGGGGTGAGACGGGGGGCTTCAGGGACAGTAGTCATGAGTATCCATGGCCTGCACATGAACCCAGAGCTGAGTCATTTCTTCATCATGCCTCCATCCCAGTCAAAACTAATCTTGTCATTAAACCAAAAATATTGCATTTCACAATTGATGTTAGATCTCAGACAGCCCAGCCTACCTTATTAATTAGTAGCATTACTCACTGGCCTCTTGGAACTGAGGAATGTTCTTTGGAGGAGGAAAGCCAGTGGTACTAAAGGCTGGACCTATAATTCCTTAAGCTAGGTCAGCATGGAACCAGTACTCAGTATTTGTAAGAGAACCAGCTTGATATTTAATCAGAACATTTCCCCACAAAATTCAGTCAAAACGTATTAAAAGAAGTTATGTCCAGCCAAAATTACTGAAAGGATTTCATTTAATTAACAGAAGAAAAGTTCCAGGGAAAAATAGAGTAAAGGTTCTAAGAATATTTGCCCCCAAAAAAATCTTCCACAGAACTGGCCTCAAAAGCCAGGCCCATGCTTGAAGACCTTCCCAGGTGACAATTCTGAGATGTCAGCTCACCACGGACTGTCATTTATTTTCAGCCCCTGCCCGACTCCCAGTACAACGGGAACCCCGAGTCGGTGGGCTACAGGATTAAGTACTGGCGCCCGGACCTCCAGTCTCCAGCTCTGACCCAAGTCATCAATGACCGGCTCGAGAGGGAATTCACCATTGAGGAGCTGGAGGAGTGGATGGAGTACGAACTGCAGATGCAGGCGTTCAATGCCATCGGGGCTGGGCCCTGGAGCGAGGTGGTGCGGGGTCGGACACGGGAGTCAGGTGAGATGAAGGCTCTTCCAGCCCTGGAGACTCAGCCCCTCTCCACGTCCCCTAGAGATGGGACTTAGTGGCCCTGAATCTCACTGGCATCCCACTGGTTCATCCCTCCTGTGCCTATGGTAGCATTTCCCTAACCCAGTAATCAGGTCAAGCCTCAACAGTAATTTAAGTAAAACTTGACTAGAGCCCCATGCCTCTAATTTGAAATTGGTGATGAATTCTACCAGGGGCTGGACTCACATTATCATTTTTTTAATTAGGGATAATTTTCACCACCAATGATGAAAAGCAAGAGTGTGTAGAGATTCCAAGGGAGATCTTTATGACACAAGGTGTTCAGGATTTCCTTTTGACAAAGTAGTGTGTGTGATATGTGAGGATAGTCTCACCTGCACTAACAAAGAGACCCTCTAAAGTCCTATCGCTTTAACACAAGAGAAGTTTACTTCTCCCTCATTGCAGTCTAAGATGGGTTGAGGCTCTCCTCCAGGAGGTGATTCAAGGACCCACGCTCTCCTATCCTTTAGGACTGATCACCATCTGCGTCCAGCTCCCTGAGGGAAAAGAAAAAGCAAAGATGGGCACATGTGCCTCTTGAAACCTGTCCCAAAACAGCATACAGCCCTCCACTCTTAGCCACAGGCTCAGGTTGAGACAGATATGTTGCCCTAATCTTCTAGGCCTTGTGGACTGACCAGCCAACAGTTGTTTGGGACCCTTCCGAGCCTGGTCTGAGTGTGTAGAAACACGAAGAGGAGAGTGCTGCTGACACTCTTTAAAGATGCACTGTGACACAGATCAGTTCTTCCAGATAGTCTGAAATCATGTGGTTTTCTCCTGAAAACGAAGCTCACTGCTCTTCTCCCAGTCTTCTGACGTTGTCACAGCGTGCGCTTGATATATCGAGGAGCTGTTAATTCTAGACTAGCTTAGGCTATTAGAAATAGTACTCAAAATACGTTCCTGACCTCTGCTCAGACTAGGGGTGAGGAGAAAGTAGAAAGTTTGAGACAGTGAACTGGGTCATTGGTCAGAGAAGACCAGGACTTCCCGACTCCCTCCCCCAGGAAGTCCTTGTCCCTTTCATTTATCCATGTCCAACGTTACTGTTCGTTCTCCCTCCCTTCCCTTCACCAGCATCTCCATTAAGTGAAAATACCACAGCTCTGTGGTCTTAGCCCCATCCTGACATAGCTGTGTTTCCTAGGACACTTCCTGAGCCCAGGGGAGTCCTCATTTTCTTGAGGCTCCACAGGGGCAGAATCAGAAAGGTGGCCCTGGAAGCACATGTGCAACAGGAGGGAGTCGGGAGGTGGCCAGCAGCCTCTAGCAGCTGTTTCCACCCGAAAATGCCCTGGGGACTCCCCTGCTCCCCAATCAGAACTCTCTGCTTCTGTCCATGTGCTAAGGCATTATATGAAGAAACAGTCTCCCTGTTGCTGTCATCATTTTAAATAACAGAGCTAATTAATTTTTTAAACATTGAAAACTGCCTTAGGAGGTACAGTTAGCATTCAGAGTGGCCTTGATGGGAAATACATAGAGGGATGCATTAGGAAGGCAATGGCAGTCCCTTGAAGAAAATATCTAGTGAAGCAAGCAGAAGGGCGGAGGACATGGTTGGCATGGGGCCTGCCGGCAGGGCTGAGGTGGCTTTGGAGGCAGTCATCGTCAGGACAATGGCACTGCAGAGGGCGGCAGGAACAGGCGTCCGACAAGCCCCGTCCCTTCCAGCACTGGCCTGCCTGCTTCTCACCAGAGCCCTGTTGGGACCTCTAAAGAGGGACATGAAAAACTTGGAGACAGTGCCAAGGGGGACATGAGAGTGCTGAGAAGCTGGGCAGTGAGGCTGGTGAGGACAGCTGGAGTGAAGAATGAATCAGCTTTGAGAAATAAGGGAAAGGTGGATTTAACCCTGGGTGGGCTGTCCTGGCCCCTTGGCCTCTCCTTCTGTTGCTCTTTCACGCAGCGCCAACTGGGGTGCTGTTTGTGCTGTAAGGGATCACATCTGTATTGAAACGCCAATCCCTCAGCCTCCAGAAGGCCAGGCTGGGTGGGGTGGGTCCGATCCCTGACAGTTATGCAGAGTGACAGGCAGCAGGCTCTCTACACCCCAGTCCATCAACCCAGTGTCACTTCTCTGTGTGTCGTGATGTGAAACTGTTTGGGAAGCACCAGACAGACGTTTCTCGTCTCATCGTTTTTGGCTCATTCCCCACTTCCCACCAATGACACCAGATAGGTCTGAATGTGACGTTGTTGTTATTAGGATGCACATGTAGGTCACTGGGACTGATCTACCTTGACTTTCGTCCACTTTCAGTCACATACTCAAAGCCGGTGTTTCATCCAAGAGCAAAGGCTCTTAGGGAGATTTTGACTTGATTTCTTCCTAATCTTGTCTAGGGTGGGAGTTGGGGTACAAGAGGGGACAGAGGGAAGAACTCTTAAACAGCAGGACAAAGAAACAGAGAGTGTCAGGCGAGGAATGCTCTTAGTGAGCACAGACGGGCTGACAAGAGCCACTGGAGAGCTGCTGTCACGACACATCAAGCTTCTGAGAGGACCAGTGTCCAAAGAGAGGTTTGCCAGAGCACCAGGGCTGCGATGGATGTCTTCTCTGGTTTTCTCTCAGGCTGTAGATTTTATCATGTTAGAATTAAAAGACTGAGACACACTGATGCTCAGCTTGTGACTGTGTGACCACATGGATTTTTAGAAAGCCCTATTATCTTCAATATCTGAATCTTTGTGACAAAGCAGAGAACTCAGAAAATTCTAATGGACAGTTCTAACTCCAATAACAGGCAGACCAATAAAATATTAAAAAACAAACAAAAACTTCTGCTATAACTAACTAGAAAATTATGGATAAAATATAATTTTTTGAAATTTTAAATTTATTGATGTGCTCATAAGAAAAACGGGGAAATTCCCAGATGTCAGAGGCGTGAGAGAACAGCATACTAGAGCAGTAGGTGCCAAGCTGGTGCTGTGGCTGCCCTGGGGTGGGGGATGGAGGTGGATCTATCTGGTAGTTTCTGGACTTGGGATTTGATGCCCATGCAGGATCAGGAGATTCAGACTCCAGTCTATGTGAGGGGGAAGTGAGAACGGAGACCCCTGCAGAAAGTCCAGGCTCTTGAAGGTTGTACCCTCTTTGAAAGGGGAGACTAAAAATATCTGCCCAGGGAAGTTTGTCTGTGTCTACCTGTCTGCCTGGACTCTGAATGGGAAAAAAAAGTAACTCTGAGTCCTGTGCCTGAGTTGGGTTTGGGTTCTGAATTTACACTATATGAATGGTCCAGAAACTCCCAGAAGAGAAATTAATGTAAAGCTTGGTTCCAGACACCAAAAGCACAAGCAACAAAAGAAAAAAAAAATAGATAAATTGGACTTCATCAAAATGAAAACTTTTGTGCTTCAAAGAATACTATAAAGAAAGTAAAAAAAAAAAGCAATACCCAAAATGGTAGAAAATACTTGCAAATCACATATCTGATAAGGGACTGGTGTCCCAAATATATAAAGAGCTCTTAAAACTCCACAATAAGAAGACAACCCAATTAAAAACTGGACAAAGGATCTAAATAGACATTTCTCTAAAGACATATAAATGGCCAACAAGCACGCGAAAGAATGCTTGACGTCATTAGCCATCAGGGAAATGCAAATCAAAACCACAATAAGATAGCACTTCACACCCCTAAGATGACTAAAATAAAATTTAAAAACAAAATGGACAGTAACAAGTGTTGGTGAGGATGTGGAGAAATAGGAATCCTTATGCATTGCTGGTGGGAATGTAGAATGGTGCAGCCACTCTGGAAAACAGTCTAGCAGTTCCTCAAAAGGTTAAACATACAGGTACCATATGACCCAGCAATTCCACTGCTAGATATATACCCAAGAAAATTGAAAACAAATGTCTACACAAAAATTTGTACATGAATGTTCATACCAGTATTATTTATAATAGCTGAAGCAGAACCAACCCAAGTGTCCATCAATTGATGAATGGATAAATAAAATGTAGTCCATCCATACAATGGAATATAATTAAGCAATAAAAAGGAATGAAATCCTGACACATGCTACAACATAGATAAACCTTGAAAATATTATGCTAAGTGAAAGAAGCCAGACACAGAAGACCACATACTGTATGATTCCATTTATATGAAATGTCCAGAATAGGTAAACCTATAGAGACAGAAAGTAGAGTCATGGTTGCCTAGGCCTGGGGAGGAGGGTTGAGAGGAATAGGGAATGATTGTAATAGGTACAGAGCTTCTTTTTGGGGTGATGAAATGTCTAAAGTTCACTATGATAATAATTGCACAACTCTGTGACTACACTGAAATCACTGGATTGTACACTTTCAATAGGCGACTAGTATGCTGTATTAATTATCTCTCAATAAAGCTGTTTTTTAAAAGAAGAAAAGCTCAGCCTTCCCTAGATTAATTTGGTGCAGATAAAATGTTATTAAAATAAGTAAAATTCAGAGATTGTACACTTTTCATGTAATTGGAAGGCCCTAAGAGTGTCCTCACTGACCAGAATATCTTCTTACCCCCGGGGGAAACAGTGACCAACTCCTCCTGAAATATTAAGTGTTATACCCCAAAAAAGGATTTTACTGTCTTCCAAAAACAAAATGAAAAGAAAAGACAAAAAAAAAAACAAAAGAAACCTGGTTCCAGGCCAGACTTTCTGGGCAGCCAATGAAGCAAACGTGTCTCCTCTCTGGAGAGATGTTGCTACAGCCAAATTATCTCAAATAACAATCAAGGCTTTTTAAAGATGAATGCACAATTGTCAAACACACAAGGAAATAATCTGCCACGAGTAAGAATGAGCATCTTAAAAAAAAGAAGGAAGGAAGAGAGAGGGCCCTGATTACTTTAAAATACATACTAGTCTAAAAAAGAATACATAATAAGTACATTTAAAATTATTAAAGACTTCCAGTTGTAAGATGAATAAGTTCTGAGTAA